CATCAAAGAGTTCAGACAATTTACCATGTTCTCAAGCTAATGAGATAAACCCATTTCCTACTTCCTCCCTCGGGGGTGTTTGTGCTAGTGATTCAGGCCTTGTTTTGAACGAATCTTTTGAGCCTGAATCTGATGAAGAGTCATTGCTTGACATGCGCTTTGGTCACTCAGCATCTTTTAACGAGTTCAGGAGTTCATTGCCACCAATACAGGTATGTAGTCATATATCGGTAACTACTTTAATAGTTCTCAAATTGGTAGACATAAACATAAAAATAAGTACCTATGGTTATAATGTAATCTTCAGATCATGAAGATCATCATTGTCCTATTTCCTTTCACTTTTCCCTTTCCTTTTGGTTTCAAATGAGAAAGAGGGTGGTGCTATCTTCTACGAGCAGTATACTGATTATTGATGCATAACATAGAAAAAGCTAGCTACTTCATTGAATATGTTCTTAGAATATCCTTGGGTACTAAAAGGTATTTATGGTTTATTGAACGATAAATTTCTTTTCCTTTTTAAGCTTATTTTTATGTTTTAATTTACAATTTTTATCAGTGTTATGTGTAATCCTTATTTTTTTAATCTTTTACGAGCCAAATATTATTTGAAGAAACTGAATGATATGGTTTGATTTATAATCTAATAAAAGTATATTAACATATTTTCTCTATATAAAAGAGTAAATTGTAATATAAGGGATAACTTTGCGACTTGTGAATTTAATGATAGCTTTGTTACATAGAAGTTAAAAGAGGGGAGGTTTAAATGCATGCCTCCAGTGAAAAGAATTCAAGTATAATTTTTGACACAAAATAGAAGAAAACAAAAATTTAGCACATAAAGGACTAAATTATTTAAGTTATAAAATAATTTTATTACACTAAATATCAATGAAGGGAGGTTTGTGTAATATCTGAAACCATAGGGGGTATGTGTTATATGCTGAAATCTCAGGGGAGGTTTGTGAAGTTATCTCTAAAAAAGTAAGAATAAATATAATAATCATATTGAAGAAGGCATTGAAAATTCAATTAATTGAAACATATGAAGTAAAAGCGATGTCAAACAAGCTCAAAAATCATTTTTAAATTTTTTAATTCAGATGAAGATTCTAATTCAATTGGTGACTTATTCTTCTACTAAAGTTCTAATTTCCTGTCCTGATATTCTTATATATTCATCTAAACTTTCCTTAACGATTAGTGTCGCTTGTCATATGCATTATTGTCTAATGTTGTCTTCTCTAAGAACAAGTTATGGGCATTGAGGTGTACGTGGTGCCTGCACTATATTGCCGGTTTAGCAAGACGAACGACCTAACCTATGTTATACCAAGAGTTAGGGGCTGGTGCGTGTATAAATGGCCTTAGCGACACCTGCTTTTATGCGCGGCTGAATAATTACTTGATTTTTTTTCAAATTTGATGTGTGGCATTTAAAACTATTAGTTTAAACACTTGCAGCAAAATTCAGTAAAATGATAATATCACCAAAAAGAAATAATGTGCAACTCCTTGTAAAGAAAATTGGATCCATCATAGTGGGATGAGGTACAGTAAAATTGAGTGAGTCCATTTTCAGCAATTCCAATAGCGCCAGTGATTTAGCCATCTTTTGGTACTTTTGAATGAACTTATCTTTGTACAATTTATGCTTTAAATAACTTGATAACTGTCAACATTTTTTTTTTGAAATGGTAAAAGTTGATAACACAAATTGTTTGTCTCAAAAACAGCGTAAAGGTTAAAATTGGAGTTGATATTATCAAAAAATTCCAGGATTTTTTCTGTGATTCCGAGTTCCAACTGACATTTTTTCAGAAACTTATCTCAAAACTAACAGTTATATTGTCACTATCATGCCTTCCATGTCACAATAGCAAATTGAAATGTTAAATGTCAGTTCTTTTGATTCTCCCTTGCAAGCCCCCAAGCCAATTTTCCTAATGGCCCATATTTACCCTCACCAACACCAGCTCTTCAAAGTTGCAGCTCTTCCCCTCAAGCCCCTCTCTTTCATTAAATGATACGCCTGTAGCTAGAGGACACATTAACATAATGATTGAATGCTTTAAAAAATGCTTCCTAGATGCACTTGAATCCATTGATTGAGTTTTTGTCTGTGTGGGTGAGAGAGAAATTGTGTGTGTGTGTGTGTGTGAGAGAGAGAGAGAGAGAGAGAGAGAGAGAGANGTGATGGCAGGTGAACGGAAGCTCTGTTAATCATACAGGCATCAGAATTATTTTTTAAGCCTTGCAACCTGACATCGTTTCTTATGTATGTAAGAATCTTAGTGTTAGTTTTGGAATTACTTTTGAACACGTGCTTGGATGAGAGATATATATAATGCAAGTCTTTATATAAAACTTTTGCAAAGATTCCCTTTTCTGAGAATTCCTTAAAAATGGACGGTGTTCTGTTATCATGGTCATTTATGATACTGATTCACCTTTTGGACATCAAAGGAGTAATCTACAATGCATCTTGTTGACCGCTCCTGCTTGCTTTATTTTTGCTTGGATATTAGCTAGTTGTCCAATCTAAGTTGGATCTCTGATGGACTGATTTTGGTTGTATCATTCCACTTTTCTAAAGGGTCTGATTCTATTTTATATGCATTATATCCATAAATCACATTGAATTAGTATTATTGTGTTGAAACTCTGCTAGAAGTCACAAAGTTGTTGATCTTTTTGAAACAGGAAGAGGTAGAAGCTAGAGAGCACCTTGTGTATGCATCAACTGAGACTGGTCTTCAACATCTGGGTGGTAGTGGATCTGAACCCTGTGCTTTATCCTATTCATCCGGGTCTCTGACTGCTGAAGCTTCCTGGATACCTGGAGTGTCAGTTGTCGAAGCTGTGGACGAGGAAGACTCATCACCAACTACTTCAGTCCACGATTCTGAAAATCCATTGGAAGTTGAGGTTGTAGAACCATGCAGAGTAGATCAAAACATGAATTCAGATGACAAAATTAATCATCCAAAATCTGCATCTGTCAATAATATTGACTGTTTGGTTGATGGCGAAGCCGCTTCTGGCGAGCTGCTGGACATCACTTTGGCACAATGCTCTGCCGAGACACATGATAACAGTGATACTGGTCCTGTCACCTCTTGCCAGGAAAACCTATATGATATCCATGGGAATGGAAACCTTGCCTGTAAACGTTTGCTGCTCATTGGTAGTGGTCCTGGCTCAGAAGCAGATGCTCAACACAATGTGAAAAGGATACGTCTTACACCCTTGGATGAAGGGGAATTAGCATGTAGAAGTAACTTGTTAGATGATCTGCATTTGTAGATTAACCAATGGGAATTTTATCAAGCATTCTTTGCTCTCAAGGCACTAGGAATACAAGATTCTCTGTTAGATGCACACCCCTTCCTGTGAATATATTTTAGTGGGTAATATCTGTACACCCGAGATCTGATTTTATGTAAATGCTCTTAACCCGGGTTTTGGTATCATCCAGTTAGGCACTAATAGGTGCTTGATACACAGTATTTGGACTGATCGCCAATGCTGTCTTATTTTAGTTTCTTATCTATGCTAACAGATATTCAGGTGAATGGTGTCTTATTTTTGTTCCTCATCTATTTGATGCTAACATGCTTATGCAGAAGCACACCCTTTACGCTGCTATATTTGCAGAAACTCTACTGCGGTTGAGTTTGTGACAAGGGCTTTCAAAAGTTGTACACGGTTATAGCTGGAGTGGGACGACTTTTTCAATTAAATTGGGAAATGATTTGAATTGAGAGCTAGACTAGTAATAAACCTCAAGTTAGGAGTTAGCTTAGGATTTTGAGTTTTTACCTTAAAATAATCGAATCCTAGTAGGCGTTTGGACATGAATTCCAAAAAAAAAATTTAAATTTAGAATTTCACTAAAATTTGAATTGAAAATGAAGTTGTGTTTGGTTATAATTTTTGCAACATATTTGGATGTCTTTTTTTTTCAAAACTATGAAACATGATTTATACCCCACAATTTGTAAAAAATATCAAAACCACCACAATTCGATTATCTTACTTGAAATAAACAATCAAAATGTTATTGTTTAATTGTTATCATATTCTGCTTTACTGCAATACACGAAAGATACAAAATTAATATCACATTTTCTAATTCTACCAACACACAGAGAAGGTGCAAAAGCAAGCATAGCCATATATTTCTCATAACCATATAATCAAACTTTCAATAGGCAGAGTTTAAGTATCAACTAGGACTGATGTTCCATCATTAGTCGCCAAAGATAAAGACTGATGGGTCACTTTAAAATTTTTAAAATATAGAGTAAATTTGTAAAACTAAAAACTAGCAAATTATCATTGTCAATTGAAAAAGTGGTGAGGACCAATTTTTCAAATTTAGATTTTTAAGTGAAAGAGGAAAAATTGGTAAGAATAGAATAACCAAACATTGTTTTCAAAAAAAAAATTAGAAAAAAAGGAAAAATTGTGTATGTTCAAACAGGCTCCTAGTATATCAGTTTTAAAATCAATCAAAACATATAATTAGATTTTTCGGTTTCAATTCTTATTTGTTTCTGTTCTTCAGGTTTCTCTGGTCACTTAAAACAAAAATTCAGTCTCGTCTGGTCGCTTGCAGCTATGATAATTTGGTAGATGCCAAGATGTTTAACAAGAATTGACCAACGGACAAACCTATAATTCACGAACACGTTTTTGTGAGTAATTCCACCGTTACATGACCATTATTTGCTGCATAAATTCACAGCAATCTTTTATTCATATATATTCCAATATTACTCAGACTTAATGATCATAACAATAAACAAATAACCAACGAAAGATCTTTAATATGAAAGAAAACAAATTTTTAAATAAAAGAGTAAAGATGGATATGCTCCATTCATCAGAAAAGTATCGATGCAACGGTATCTTAAAACCGGGAAGGAATTTGGGACATCATCTCCAACTTTTGAAATATCAAGCACAACAATAGGGGACATCGAGAAGAGTAATAAAAGTTACACCCTAAACAAATGCTGTAGACCAAAGGAGCAGAAAAAGAAGAGAAAAGCTACATAAAGAGTTCCTATTTAGTTAAGTGTGGGATAAAGCTAAATCATGCAAACTCAGACATTTTGCTGAGGTTGAAATTTTTCATAAACAGATCCCTCCTAGCTGTGTAGTTGCAAGTGTAACCTTGAAAAAATTGCCCCTCGAATAACCCAACAAAAATATGTTTGCTTAACTTATCCATAAAGAAAATGTTATTTTCTCCAACCTGAAAAACATAGCTTGCAACAATAACAGTATACAAGAAATTCATTGGACATAATCTAAAAGATGTTTCCAGAGAAACATCAATAAGCACCATTCTTCTCTACTGGACACCAAAAAAGCTCAACTGCCCAAAACCTACCTTATCAAAATCTAAATCTTGATATTGAAGTAATCATGGTCAAAATGATGCAATCTCACATATCCATCTTCACCACCACTTGAGAAACTGCAAAATGAAATAGGGAGTTCACATGACACTCTAGATGGAAGAATCAATTAACCTGGTCATCACAAAGGCTTAAAACATACTTCAATACATGGAAATTGATCAACATTATACCATCTAGAAGTAAACGAGGATATAACAGGTAATTAGAAACAACACATTTTAACATGACAAAATGAAAGCGGAAAGCAGCATAGCACACATTGGGGCGTTAGCGGACATCAGATAAAAGATAAGATCAGGACAACAATAAAGACATGTTTGCTGGACCATGACATGAACCTCTGAGAATGACATCAAGATATCATTTTTCCTACCACAAGGTTTAGGATGCAACTGCAAAGGAGGAAGTTCAAAGGAGCTGTCTGCATATTTTATTGTTCTTTTCATAGCAGATTTCAAATGTCTACAATAGAATAATGGTCGCAGTAGTATGTTCTCCTATCTCATTTTGAGCTTCAGTTTTTATTAACCAATTGAAGTTGTAATCCTCAAGGATGCAATTGATTGATGGTAAACAGTGACAGACACGTTTCGGGACCAGAATAGTACCTCACTTTCCTATCCTTTTTTCCTTATCCAAAAAAGGGGAAGGAAGCTGAAAGAGGTTCTACTCTGAACTCAAAAAACATTTGTGTTTCTGTACTAGATTCTAGTGTAAACAACAACATACCCCCAGTATCATCCCACATAGTGTTCTATATTCTAGTGTATGTGTTTCTTTTACAACATGAAACCTCTTTCAAGATCTGTCCAACATCAAACAAAGATCCATTTTTATGGCCTTCCTATGTATCTTTTACTTCCTTCACCTCTACCCTTCTTCACTCACTTCACCTCTTTCGACCCATCATCTCCTCACCCCAATCAAACATAAGATGGACACCCACTAGTGATCATGGAAGAGAAGTACGCACATGCACTTGTTGAGCTTGAAGCTACAAGAGAAATGATATATATGTTTGTGTTGTGCACAAAAAAAATGCTAACGTCAAGAACTCTAGTCCACTATGCTTGAGCCTATATTCTTGCACCAGGCATGATGTAGCTACGAGATACTAAAAGTTGCAAAGTGAGGAAAGAGAGATGCCACAAGCTCACCGCTTGTTATCAATGTCCACAGCTGAGAAAAGACGTGACAAACCAACCAAAACTAAAAAAATACCAAAGACAACTACTTGCTCCATTACTTTTCTCATGCAGCACTACACTTCACCAACTTGCTGAAGATCAAATAGATATTAATGGAAACAATGTCCATTGTGCTCTCTCCAACATTGGAGAAAACAAGATTGAGTTTTGGAGTTCCTAAGAACCATTCGCACTGCGTTATCACATGGACAACTTAGCTCCGTTCGACACATCCACCAACATAAGTTCTCAGTAATTTATACACCATGAAAATTTTAAACTCCGAGCATCGAACAATAGCAACAGGGGCATCAGATTTTCAAAACCCCACCACAATGCAGTCACCAAACATCAACTAGAGTTTCCTTGATAATACTCCTACCATACAAAAACTCCTACCAAAAGACAGGAGGCATCAAATTTGCAAACCCCACCAAACACAAGATTTCGCCTTACTGTAAGCTTATCTTAATATGTGCTTTCAGTTACACCTCAATTTCAAACTAGTTAGAATCAATTACATGAATTCTCTTTATTTGTTCAGCTTTATTCAGGCCAATTTCACTAGAATACTAAATAATTTTTCTTGTAAAACAAATTACAGGTAGTCTAAACTAGAGATTCACTAAACTTAGTACCATACACTGACATACAAATCTCTAACAAAACTGCAAAGGTCCCTGACAAATATCTGAACTTTTTTTCAATCAAAATAAATCTTAAAAGCACTTCAAGGAAAATTAAAAAGGATCAAAATAAGAAAGGGGAACAGAGAGTACAACATGGAAGCAAACACAAATCCAAATCTAACTGCTTTTATATAAAGTAGATGATCGCAAAAACAATTGAATTAACTCAATTTTAACCTAATATAAAATTAGGAACCATGGTCCTAACAAAAGTGAGTTCCAATCAAATATGATGTCTTTCTTTTCCTCTTTTCACCTTTTAGTTGAAAGGATCCAAAACTCATTACTTCGTCCAAGGAGAGAAAATAAAGAGAATCATCAAGGACTGCCACACTGGCACCAACAGGCAGTTGGCACATTGAAACAAAAAATTTCACTCTTCTAGTCCAAAAATGGTTGCCTAAATTTCCAAGCTGTCCTAAGAAAAGTCCCCCTTTTTCTTGAACAGGAACCTTTTTATTCATTCATCATTACTTTTCCATATACATGCGATTCAAAGAAAAACTGATTAGGAACCACTATCATTCTTATTAAACTTAATTCTTGAAAAGCACAACTTCATCTTTGGCATATGGAGGTAGCAGTAATACAAAAAGAGCCGAGAAGACGAGAAAAGATATCTTAAAAACCCCATAAAGAAAAAGGCAAGAACACAATTTTTAGAAAAAGTATTGCATTAAAAATCTAGAACACGTGATTCCAAGTCAACTTAAAAAATGGGCACAAGTACGTGAGCACATCCACATATGAGATGCAAGAACATGGAATGATCAGTTACCTTTTCCCGTCAGGATTGAAAGCTAAAGCATTTATTGGTCCAAAATGCCCTTTAACGCCTCCTATCTCTTGTTGAAGAATCTGATGCATTTCCAGATAGAAATTACAAACACTCCGAAATGTTACGAAACCGAATAAAACTCACCCTTTCTCCTTTTTCTCTTTATCGGGGTGGGGGAGATCATTCCTAACACTAAGAGCATCTCTGCTTACCTTGTCATAGAATTTGGCCTCAAACTTTCCAGCACGGTGATCAGTAGTTGTGACAGCTGAAGCATCCTGACCACCTCCCAAAACCACCTATAGACAATGAGGAGCATTAGATTAGAAAGATACTTTAAGAAATATTACAGAAGCCATCGGAGAAACTGTTGCTTGTACAAACATGGTACCAAATTTTTAGACAAGCAAAAGCAAACCGGTGCAAATTGAGACATCCATTTTTGTTTTTTGTGAGTATTTTTTAATCAGTGATATCACAAGAGAAATATCCAGGATTAAAGATCTACAGCAGGATAAACAGATTATCCATTCTCTTGTGATAGTGGACTTGTAACTCTCCACCCAAAAATTGTATTTGAGCTTAAAAGACTCCATAAAAGACTTAGAACACTGACTATTAACATAAAGTGAGCTGCAATTGGCAGACATTATCTTCAAAGATGCAGGATAACTACATGAATATTTGAAAATTTTAACACGTCGCACAACAAAGCACGCTACATAGGGACAACAGATATTTGTACAGTAGAACCATTCAATGTATTAGTTAAGGAGTGTGTCAATACATACATGATTAAGAAGCGGCGACATTGTGACAGCATTCACTGGTCGTTCAGTTGTATAGTTCTTGATAAGAGTTAAAGTTCTGATGTCCCAAAGCTGGAAAATCAGCAGAGAGATTAGTAACTAAGAGGAACTATGAAAAGAAAGAAACAAAGTGTAATTTGGGCGTGCAAAGCTAAAAATAAAAAATGGAAGTATATTGCCAGTGAGTTGCAAGAACTTAGAATGAAACACTGGCCATACTTCCAAGGGCTATAAGGAGCTACCTTTGCAGATTTATCAAGGGAACCAGTAATGAAGTGCGAACCATCTACTGACTTTTGTAGCGATGTAATACCCTTTTTATGACCAACTTCCTTGTCAGACTCCTTCAGTATCTTTCCTGTCTGCAGATTTTGAAAGACCATCAGACCACTACAATAGCTTACAAACAGCCAGAACTATCTTAAAACAACAACAACAACGACCCAGTATAGTCCCACAAGTGGGGTCTGGGGAGCGTAGTGTGTACGCAGACCTTACCTCTACCCGATGGGGTGGAGAGGCTGTTTCCGATAGACCCTCGGCTCAAAACTAAATAAAATTTAAAAAAGAAAAACAAAACAAAAAAGCAGGCAGTGCAATGTAAATAGAGCAAAAGCAGGCCTACCTGACCAAAGAACCTAACTGTTCAAAAAATTTAAATAAAATATCTAGAGTAATAAGACAAATTATCTTTTGAACTTCACATATTGCCAGCATATTTTTCCATGATGCTGAAATGCACCAACGTACCTCAACATCCCAGATACGTATTACAGCATCTTCACCGGCACTTATGATTGTTCTATTCAGGGGTCCCCACACAGCTCTATTGATTCTTCCCTGGGGACCCTTTAATGTGAGCACTGATTCGCCAACCTCTAAAATAATAAGAAGATGACTTATTAGATACTGTGAATGTCAAGATCATGAGATGAAAGTCACGAAGTGCCCAAATTATGGAAGATAAAGTGGGTCACAGCAAGAGAGCAACCACCAGGGAAACAGCAGAAAACTATAAAAGGTATAAATCGTCATCTCGAAGTCCAAAGCATATCAATGCATTAGATCATAGAGTTGACAACTCTGGAAGCATATCTGGCTTAACCCTTGACAACAAACATTCCCTAATGATACGTATCCTTTCTCATTTGTATTAATTGAATAGAAGGAAAACCCTGATATTCATTCACTTGTGCATTAACCGCACACGTCTTTATGGTGGTCATTTTTGCTTTTGATAACTTTCTTTACAAGACAATTGTTATCAATTCTCAAGTTCTGATTCACGTAGCATAAAGGAAAATACGAAAAGCTAATTAGTCAAATATTAATGATAAATGAATTGGATAGAAAACAAAGAGGGAATACAAACTGACTAGAGGAATTTTTTTAAATCCAAAAATGAACTTAAAAGGGGCGAGTGAGAATAAATGTGATCTGTTTTGCCTCCCCAAGACCCCACACCAAGTTCCATATCCCCAATAAATTATTTATTAAGTCAGAAATAACACTAGTAACTCTACAGTTGAAAGGAGAAGTAATTGTAACAGGACAATTGATCTGGTTTCTTTAAGCTGCTTTCTGTGGAGTAAGTATGGGAGTAGCTCTGTACATCATCAGCTTCCAACATGCATCAATAAATTCACTTTACATACCCAATTGTATCATGCTCCAAAACCAACATATAGTAGATAACGGGACTAAGTGGCCAGTGGTAGAGGTACTCCAAACTTGAAAATAATGAGTGGACATAGTTTTATTCCAGTATTCTGGTTGCACTGATCACAGAGAATAAATGAAATGGTGGGATTTCTGCATTAATATTGGTTTTGGCAAGTATTGATGGATAAAGTAGGTGCCAGTATCGAAGTTGGGGTTTGAAACTGCTGTCACTGATGGCAGAATCAGTACCAAGAGGGAACCTTATGCAGGTTAAGTCTCCGCTCTGTTTTCAGCTTGAGAACAGGGGTCAGGGCAGACATATATAGAACCGGGTGGCCTGAGTTGGCAAGTCAGTGAGAAATAGAATAGCACATTAAATCGACATATTTTAACAACTAGTCATATGCTGATATTTGTAAGGAATAACCACATAGTCATATGCAGAAATTTATAATGACAAGCTTTCTTCAACATTAATAACCACTGCAGCCATACCAGGAACAATCTCAACCACCAAAATATCAGCACAAAAGAAAAAATAGAAAAACACCTGATAAATGATGGCAATGATAACACAACACGATAAACTAATTAAGAATCGGCAAAACTATTATAGCTACTTTATTGGTGACTTGAGAAACTATTCACAATATATCTAAGTCATTTAAAATTAGCTCCGTGCTTTATAGTCATAATCAAATAGAAAATGCATCTGTACAGCTCTGACTGAAGGTCATAAAAGAGTCCACTCTTCACATCTCTGAAAAGTTAACACAATGGGCTTAAGAATGGCTACAGTGGAGACATGATACCTGTGCACAAGATACCTGAAACTTCATAGCAAAACAGCTCGCTCAGTGCTTTCACAATAATTCAGTTCATTAAAAAGAAAAGAGAAAACAAAGATAACACATACTATACAATCACAAATATATTCCTGCAATTACTTATCAAAAAGACAACCCAGCGATTAAACAAGATAACACAACAGAAGATCACCCTTAGAGTTCCAGAAACTTACGGTCACTGGGATCTTTGCTGATGCGTTTGACATGGATAGCAGATGGCAGTCCCATAAAAGGATCAGTGGTGATCACTGCGAGCTTATCACCAACCGAAAAATCAACAGACCTAGCAGGGGAATCAAAGTTGAATGTGAACAGTTGGGTACCAGTTTGGACATCCCACAGCTTTGCACTCTGATCCGCGCTTCCTGTTATTAGCCTGGCCGAATCCCCTTTAGCAAACGAGCAACAAGTCAGCAACCACAGATAGTCATTTTACCATAGTATAGTAAACCTTTACCACACACAAATACAAACAAAAAAGTTTCATTTGTTCTCTCGTTCTGTGACTTTGTATATTCATTAACTTTTTTTAGAGAGAAAAAGAAAACATGTCAGCAAGTATTGAACCTCTGAGCTCTTTAAGTTAAAAACTGACAAAACTAATGAGCTATAGCTATTTTAGTACTTTAAATTTTCAATGACCAAAGTGGATATAATACAGAAAGAGAATACTAAGAAATTCCGTGTATTTAGATTGAGAAAATATGAAGAAAAATAATGTAGAGAAATAAAGAGATCTGTGAAAGAAAGCTGTATATTCTTTAAGAAAAAAGACTACTTGGGTAAGGAAAGAAGTAAAAGATAAGAGGACAATAAACCATCATAAACAAAAGAAAATAAATGACTTCCAAAAGTTAAGCGACTGAAGCAACTTGGTTTTGCAGTAAATCAGTAAGACAAGCCCAGGATGATTATTGGATATTCAACTCTACAGTAATCGCATTCATTAGAAAAATCTAAGTGGTTTAGCCAAAAGTGAGTTTAATATGTGAGAACCAAACAATGATCATCTCAGTTTCTTTTACAACCTGGACAAGCCCTTAATGTTCTTTGTTTTTTTTTTTGAAATGGTAATGTTCTTTGGTTTTTTCACCTGACCAAAATCAATGCTTGGTTATTAGACTAATTATCACTTAATAGGAGATAATCAACTATTTGTCAACGAAATTGATTAATAACTAATTTTTTTTGAATGCCGCGGTTTCTGTGATGCCTTTTTCTCACCTTTACTAATCCACTAGGTAAATTGAGCCTCTATAGCTGAATAAAACCTCGCCGTTGTTACTTCTAGCCTCAACCATTAAGTAATACCCTAGGGAATTAATTGATTTCAAACTTATTTTTTTCTAATCAGTGGATAATCAACGCGCCCTCTACCCTTCTTAAATAAGAGGCTTTTTGTAACAGGGTTCGAACCCGTGCACTTAACCCAGGCATCAGGGTTGCGCTCTTGCCACTAGATCAAATCCCTAAGGGCGATTGATTTCTAACTTTAATAATCTGATAATCGCTCATCTAAATAATCAGAATCAATCAAACATCTAAACCAAACAGGCCCTATACTAGAAAAAAGCTAATAAGCAAACAAAACAAGATATAATGTTAAATAAATCAGTTAGGGGTAATTACTGGAAACGTCGCAACACCAAACAGCGCCGTTATGACCACGGTAAGTGCCGAGACGCTCGCCGTTATCGGCGAACCAAACGGTAGGGGTATGGTCCTTAGCGCAAGAGAAGAGCAGATCCCCGTCTCTGTTGTATTTCAGAAACGTCAATGGCCTTTCGTGGCCCTTCATCAATATCGGCCTCATCTTCTACCGGACGACGATTACTCTGTGACAGGGGCGGCTCTAGGGTAACGCAAGTCCGGACGACGATTACTCTGTGACAAGGGCGGCTGTAGGGTAGTAAGGCAAGTGAGGCCCTTAATAAGAAGCACTACTATATTATTATATTTAGAGTCCGTTTGGCTTAGTGAAGTAGCGGATAAAGATTAGGTGTTAGAAAAACACTTTTAAATACTGAAGTTAATTTAAAAAATAAGTAGTTATGTGTTTGAATAAAAGTGCTGAAATTAATAATAAACAACTGAAGAATTGAGTATACGAAGAATTTTATTTTAAAAAGAAATATTTTAGGGATAGAATAGTAAATATTTTGGTCAAATCTAAAGTGCTTAAAAACTGAAATTTGATATGTTGGGGAGACCAACTTATGACTTTTGACTTATTTTTGGCTCATAAGCACTTAACTTATAAGCAGTTTTAATTTTACCAAAACGCATAGATAAGCCAAAAAGTGCTTATAAGCTTAGCCAAACACCCTCTTAATACTCCATATACTTTATAATTTATATTTATATAATATTTAATAAAAATTTCAAAATCTTAATAATTTTTAAAATTTGATGAAAGTAGGATTGAGTGAGTTAATAGGATAATTTTTTTCTCACTGAATTAAATGATATATTTACCTTCTCAACAATTCTATTTTTCTTTCTTTATGTATAGTCTTTTTTCATGTTTCTCACGATTTTACTTTTTAATTTTAACTCAAATTCTATAGATTAACTATTCCTTTTTGTCATATTTGATTTATCTATATACTAGAAAACAAGTTATTTTGTGTCTCATCTTTTTTAATTAAGAAATCTACGAGACAAATGATGCAAGGGTTCAAACCCCGATGAATAATGGGCTCACCCCTTTACCATTTTCACTTAAAGGAAGAATTCAATATCATATGACGTGCGCCTAACTCATACATCATGAGTTGCGCTCTCAACACTAGATCAAAGTCATGTAGGTTTTATAAAAGAAGTTTCAGGTTCTTTTTAATATATTTTAGTTTTGGGCCACCAGTTTTGTTGAGTCGCCCCTCATTGATGATCAACAATTATTTATAAACTACTGCCCCACTATGAACGTATTGTTCAACCATCTTCATTCACATTTGGTAACTGAATGACACACTTACTGCCTTTAATGTTCTTACCATTGTTGTCTTATCTTAATTGAGACTCTACAAATTTGATTCAGAAAATCAGGGGTGGGCAAATGGCTCTAGTAGGAGACTAGTAAAGCCTTGATTTATGTCCCCAAATTTTTTAATAATGGAGTTTATAATTTTATTTCAAGTTACACAATATTAATATTTATAGAAAAAATTAAAAAAAAGTACAAAAAAATATAAAAAGGAAAGAAATATGTCTACTCTTTAACAGTAAAATATTTTTAAAACTACAAATTAAACTACTTAAATCTTCATATTAGTAAATATATTTTTTACAACAATATCAAAGGTACCATATTGCAAATACATGTCTAACATCTCATTAATTTAAATTACCCCTTTTTAATATAAATAATAATATTACTATGTAAAGTTAAGGACTTATATGTCATTTAAGAATATATACTATAAACAACAAGTATTGAAAAAAAAGGCAAGGTTATTTTTTTTTGCATATATGTGTGTATATTTACTAATAAAAAAGTATTAAACCTCTTATTAAAATTTGGCTTTAGCCACTACTTTTATGGAGTCGCCCTTGCTCTGTGACTTGGCAGAGATTTCGGCGAGGTGGCGAGCTAATATTCCGCTGTGTAAGAGTGACAGGGGCAGGTTGTTTTGTGTTTGGTGAAAGTAGGTTCAACTAGCATTGGGTTTATTTGTAAGGGTTTAGGTTTTGTTTTTCTCAACCCATCAAGAAGACAGTTAGACTTGGGCTGGCTCAATCCTTTTTGAGAAACTACAGATTATGCAAGCTCATAAGCAAATTAGTATCAAAGTTAGCCAATTCATAAAATATTAACAATATTAATCAAATGTTACTAATATCATCTAATTAGCTATTTGTAACCAACAAACGGTCAAACTTTTTGCTTTCATTTGAGCGGGTATTGTAGGAATACATTGAATACATCTTAAGGAGTTTGAATCTTGATTTTGGGATGATTTGGTAGAGTTTTAAGGTGGTTTGAATTGAAAATTCGAAGTAGAAGATAAACATGGAAATATATATATATATATATATCACACTGTGTATCATTTATGTATTACATGTATATTATATGTGTATCAAATGTGTATCACATGTATACATGTGTATGGGATACATGCGTGATACATCTTAGATACATGTGTTGTAGACATTTTTTAAAACTCGATTTAACTATGAATTTTGATAGCAAATAAGTCCAAATCACATCTAGTCTTCCTCAAATTTTGTATATTGAGTGTTTTCAATGAATTCAACCATACATATTGAAATATGTTCCTTTTTGCTTAGATTATTTGAATCTTGTATATTTTTTTTCCTTGTGTTTCATCACCTTGTTTGCTACCGCATCTATGAAAATTCCTTTCTGTTTTGCATCTAATATTATTGATCACGCTTAAAAATATGGAAGGAGATATTTGAGTTTGATTCTTGGAGAACAAGATCCTTATTTATCTAATTTTTAATTTTTGTATATGCTTGGTTAGTTTTGGTAAGTGTGTGATTAATAGCTAGAGATTGGTAGTTTGGGCTTATTTTGGATATTTTCGTAAGATTCTCTTCCTTTTTTTCACGAGTATATTTCCCATGCACAGTTCCCAAGTCCTCCTAAAATAGGAAAAAATCAGGAATAGTTTGATTTACAACTACTAATTGAAAAGTAGCCACAAGTTTAAAAGTAATCCAAATTTAACTACTTATTCATGTAAGATTAAAATCTGAACAAAAAGACTCTTAAAAATTCACAAAAATTCTAGCTTAATATGCTGGAGTTCGAATTTTTTACAAATGAGTTTCCAGCATAATGTGTTGGAGTTCTAACATAAAATGCTGAAAGTTTATACGCATGAGCTCCATAATCCAGCAAATTATACTGGAACTTTTCGTATTTCAGTTAGGGCATTTTTGTCTAGATTTTATCTATGTATAAATAATGGTGATTTTTCATTGACTTTCCAAATATTGGATATTTTTCAATTACCAGTCCGAAAACTGGCTGGCTTATGCTATTTTGACCCTAAGATAAGATATATTTCCACATTCATACTTTACCATAACACACATTTTCTTAATTTTAATCCTATGTAATATAAAGTTAATGTTCGATGTATCGCAAAATTGGGGCATCAACTTAATTTTAAACCCACTTAAGAACGTAGTGAATTAGTTTTGGAAGGTCCCAAATATGTTTTAATTGAACTTGCAATTCAACATGCTAATTGCCTTCTCATTTAATGTTTGACCTTTTTTATTAAGTGAGTTGAAAGTTTGATGTGAGTTATGCATGTTGTTAATGCATATTCAATTCATTAATTCAGAATTCAGTAAGTTAGAGTTTTGATGTTAATGTTCTCTAGGTTCAATGCACAGTTATGAAAACAATTAATGTACATTTAATTTATCAATGTAGTATTTAGTAAGTTGATATTTACATACTAATATTATATAGATTCAGTCACTTTGCGTGAATGCTTTAAATTGTATTATTGTTAATTATTTCTCCTTCTTTACCCTATTTAATCCCCTAAATTATTGACAATCCTCATAAATTTTTCAATGACCTACCATCAAAAAATTGTCCATGCCATCCATCTCCAATTCTAGTTTCTTAATTTTACAACAACTTATTGCTCCACCATTGATAATTCGACAAATTTGAGTCGTAAGCTTCTTTTCCCTCTCTCTTGCTCTCGCTATGTATATGTACTTTTTTGTATATAACATTATCTTTTATATTTGTCTCTTTTATAAACCAAATCCTGAATTTCCTCTTTGGCAATCAATTATTGGTGATATGATTATGAGTTATGAATTAGGTTTTTGGGAATTAGTTCTTGGTAATATGATTTGTTCATATTATAACGACATGACAGGTCGTTTTGATATTTAACATGTCGTTCGGTTGTTTGGTATCTTGAGAAGCTTCACTATATGTATTATGACTTGCACGTGCGGTTTGATATTTGAGAAGTTCAAAGTTAATTTGGAAGAATAATTCCCAATTTGGATGCTTTAAGTTGGAAGAGTTGACCAAGGTTGACTTTTGAGTAAACGACCTCGGAATCAGAATTTGAAGGTTCCTATAGGTTCATAAGGTAATTTCGGACTTGGACTATGGTCGGGTTAAGTATCGGATGGTCGGGGAGTGTTTCAGCGCTTATTATCGAAAGTTTGCATTTTAGAGATTTTGGAATCTGCTAAGTTTGACTTGGAGTGTGCTTTGGTGTTATCATACTCTGGGCGGTATTTCGGTATATTAGATAGGTTTATTTTGTTGATTGGAACTTGTGCGTGAAGTTTGGTCGTGATCGGGTATGTCTAAGTGTGATTCGGACACATTCAATGAAGTTTGTAAGTTTGAAAGTTAAAAGAAGTTGATCATCGCCTCGTGGTTTGGGTGTTATTCATGGTATTTTGAGCCTTTGTATAAGTTTGAATAAGGTATTGGGGATTTTTGATATGATTGGACGGGGTCCCGAGGGCTTCGGGTGTGATTCAGGATGGTTTCAGATCAATTCTCATTGCTTGGCTATTGCTGGTTTCTGGTGTCAGGCATGTGTTCCGCGATCGCGAAGGAGGTACCGCGATTGTGAAGGTTTGTTGGAGCTGGTGAAGACTTTGTTCTTCGCGATCACGTAAAAGGGGTTGCGATCGCGGAAGGTGGTAGATTCTTCTATGTTCACGTGGTAGGAATCGCGAACGCGATGTGGCTTGTGGGGATGGACTAGTTGGGGGAGTTGTTCTAGGCGATCACGTGAGGGGTTTCAGAATTGCGGAAGAGGAAATTTTGTATGCTGGAAGATTTGCCTTCGCGTTCGCGGAGCTGGGCTCACATTCGCGTAGGCTTGGCTGGCTGTGCGTCACGATCACAAGAGAACCTCGCGTTCGCGCTGAAGGAATTTTGGGACAAGGTTGGTTTGGCCTTC